CTCTGATTTGAAAAAGAGAAAGATGGGAGATGGAGGAGAAAAGAAGGGAAAGTGGCAAGTGGGGTGGTTATAGTAAAGTGGGGGGTGGAGTGAGTAGGAGTTGCAATGCGAGCACTACTGTTTCTGAACCCTCCACACACTCCTGTTAATGAGAAAAAGATGTCAGACCAGCGGCGGGAGGAGGAGGATGGGGCACCAGTGTACACTCTCTGCTGTATGTCTGTGGTCACTCTGACACACACACACACACATATTTTGCTTTACCCCGGTGAGGTATTTGGATCACGCCACAGCGAAATGCCACAAAGACTCGCTGCTTTTCTCTCATAGCGGCGAGATTTTTTTCTTCTTCTCCTCTCGGTCAGGTGATCCCTCTGATCCTGTCGAGCGTGGAGTTTTCCAAGAACCTCCGAGCCCACTGAGCATGCTCCTTCTGCCCCGTTTGTCTCCACAGAGAAGCGTCAGGACAATGGCAGGGTGTATTTCGTCAACCACAACACACGGACGACGCAGTGGGATGATCCTCGGACCCAAGGGTGAGACAGCGAGCTGGAAAATATCTGTGTGCGTGCATGCGTTGGCCTGCTTGTTAGGTGGCGTGCCGCTTTGGGTGTTTGCTCATACTCAAGACGTGGTAGTCATGCACAGTTTAGTATGACAACACAGTGACTCATCTACATTATGATATAAACACGAGTAGAGTATTATCCCCGAGAGGAACATTTATTTCACAGCCTGACATAAGCCTCACATTATGTTGGACACAGGTCTGATGCGCCGTTGGTCATCTCGCTCACTTTCCTGATTTTCCTCTCGTCTCACCCACGCTAGTCGACCCGCTGACATTTCAGAGTTCGAGCCTTCTTTGCATCTTCTTCTGGAGATGCAGTTGCTCTCCTCAGTGTGTTAGATAAACCTTTGTTGCCATTCTAGATCTTTTCTAGAATCCTAAAAGCATGATTTTCTTCTTGTAAATGATTCATTTTTTTAGCATGCAGCCAACTGATTATTTTCCCCTTACCCTTTTATAGAGTCTTTGATTCAAATTTTCAGGCTAGCCAATACACGCTCAGCAAAAACACGTTAAAAAGACCCTCTGACGTTTACGAAAAGGTGAAAAGCTGCGTTCTTCTTCTTAATTTTCATCCAAATTGGTTTGAAAAGTGAAAAACGCTGTTCCTTTTCTGCATTTCTGCAAATTCCTCGGACAACAGACAGATTTAAAAGCAGGCACTTCTTAGTAAGTAAGTAAAGTTTATTTATATAGCACTTTTTAAGACAGGAATCTATTACAAAGCTACAATAGCATCGTCACCTCTTACTGTGAGGTGGTGATGCCACTGTGTTAGCCTAGCATCCAGGAACACGATAGAAAGGAAACAGATTCACACGTAGATCAGGGCGACTGCTATGAAATTTATTATGATAAAAAATATAGAGCATGTAAGAAAAAAAAGTGGCGATAATGCGCTGGAGTTGAGCTGACACCATTTATACATCCATATTTAATTTTAAATTATCATGTTTTCTGTCAGTAATGTTGCACTCCTTAAAAAGTGTGTGTGTGTGTGTGTGTCTGTGTAAAGTTGAAACCATTTCACAACTAAATAAAAAATCAATCAAATATCGTATTGAACAAATATAAAAATACACTTTGTATTTTTTAAACACGGGGTGCTAAACTTTAACTTAAACACAACCTTGACCGTGACAAAAGTTTCGAGTTTTAGAC